CTCACACTTCTAGATACTTTAAAAGTGTATCAAAGTCTGGTTATGATCGTAAACGTTTTCGTGGAGTTTCAGTAGAAGACTTACCTGTTGTCGAGGAAATTGTTCGAAGGAACATCTTTATATACGATTTCGATATCCCAGAAGGAGAATATGTAGGAGAACTAGCTCGACGAAGTATTGGAAGATTTGACAGAACAGTCAAATTACTGAGATTTAATAATCATATCATTCATACAAATGATATAGATAGTTTCTTCAAGTGTTTCCGGTGTCCTAGTTGTGATACTTTCTTCAAAAGATCTGACTTTCTCAACAAACATCTTCTGAGATGCAAGGACCGAGTGAAACATATTTAAACAAAGAACGTCTATGAGCTTCGCGAAACCTTGTTTGAAAAGCTAGAAGGATTCAGTCTTCCAGTTTCTGAAAACAACAAGCTTTTCAATAATCTAGCATTTTTTGACTTTGAGTCGATTTGTGTTCCTACAGAGGAACTAAAAGAGACGCAAACTACTACCTGGATTGGAAAACATGTCCCCATTTCAGTCTCTATATCATCGAATCTGATTGATGAACCCGTCTTTTTGTACAACAAGGATCCACAGAACTTTATTAATGATTTTGTAAGCAAGCTTGTGCTGTTGGCTGAAAAAAAATAAGCTGGAGATGAGAACAAACTTTCAAAATATTGAAACAGTTGTCAATGAAAGAATGAAAAAGATCTTTGATCAGCTGAACAAACGTGGCAAAAACTATTCAAATATTAAATTTGAGCACGAAGACGAATGCATTGAAGATTCGGAAAAAGCAGATATGTCAACACAATTCTTGCGAATTCAAAAAACTCAACTCATTGATTTGAAACAACATCTGGAGAGATATGTAAATACTTTACCTGTTTTTAGATTTAACAGCGGTAGATATGATTTAAACTTGATCAAGTCCTACCTAATCAATATTTGATTCGCGATAAAAAACAAGAAACATCCGTCATCAAAAAATCAAATGACTTTATATCTTTCAAGTTTGGAGATGTACAATTTCTCGACATAATGAAGTTTCTGGGAGGGGCAACTCGATAAAGCTAGCAAAACGAAAAAATTCTTTCCCTATGAGTGGTTTGATAACCCAGACAAACTTGACTTTCCTGAATTGCCACCGTGTGAAGCCTTTTTCAGTAAACTTAGAAACAACAATCCTCTAGACGAAGACTTCATTGATTATGAGAAGCTTAGAAAAAGTGGGTTTGACGAACAACAGGCACTGAAAAAGCTTCAAATCAAGACTGTTCCTCCATCTGGTTTGGTGACTACAATTATTTAGAAGAGACTTGGAAGAAAAATGGAATGACTGTGTTCAAAGGCTTTTTGAAGTGGTACAACAAAGAGTATGTAGTTCCAACCCTGGTGGCAATGCAAAAAATGATTCAGTTTTATCATAACAAGGGGATAGATATGTTGAAGATTGGATGCACACTCCCAAATCTAGCAAACATATGTCTACACAAATCTACAAATTACAAGCTTTATCCATTTTGCGAAAGTGATAAAGACTTGTGTGAAAAAATTAGAGAGGACATGACAGGTGGACCTTCCATTGTTTTCACTCGAAAAGCTGTAGTTGATGAAACATACATCAGAAATTCATCAAATGTTTGTAAATCAATCGTTGGAATTGATGCAAGCCAGCTTTACCCTTTCTCAATGTGTCAAGATATGCCAACAGGACTGTACACGAGATGGGAGTTTGATACTGAAATGCAGAAATTCAAGGCTATACAAAATCGAACTCGCAACTTTGAGAATAGGTTCATGACTTTCTATCAAGAATCAAGACCAGAATGTAAAATTGAGAGTTTTTTTACATCTGGAAAACAGAAAAAAATCGACTGTTTTAATGTTGATGGTTACTGCGATCACTGTAAAACAGTATTCGAAGCAATGGGATGTTACTACCACTTCTGTTCCTGTCAAGAAGCTCGTTCCTCCTTAACAGAACAGGATATTGTGCGAGGAAACAAGAAGAGAGAGATGGATGATATGCGACGAGAATACATTAAAGAGAAAGGATACAAAGTGGAAGAAATGTGGGGGTGTGACTGGTGGGAAAACTTCAAAACCAATGGCAAGATCAAAAATCACGTCAAAACCCACTTTCCCTATAAAATACCTCTCTCTACAGACTCCCTTCTAGCAAAAAAAGATGGATTTCTTTTTGGCTACGTTCAGTGCGACTTAGTTGTTCCAGATGAGCTAAAATCAAAATTTGCCAATTTTCCTCCAATATTCAAAAACACTGAGGATGGAAGAAACGATATTGGAGACTACATGAAAACGTATGCAATCGAGAACGAAGTGTTAAAGCATCCTCAGAGAATGCTGATATCTAGTTTCAAGCTAGAAAATGGAACAGTTATAACTCCTCTGTTCAACTTTTATATGGAACTTAGATTGCAGTGCACCAAAATTTACCGTTTTGTTCAATATTCTCCTCGGAAATGCTTTAATAATTTCGTGTCAGTCAGTGGTTGATGCTAGAAGAGAAGGAGATGAAAACTGAACATACAGAACCCATCATCGTTGCATTTTTCATACTGCAGTATGCGAAACTGAGAATGTCGGAACTCTACTATAACTTTTTCGACAAATTTTGTGATGTAAACAAATATGAAGAGTTAGAGATGGACACACACTCGCTTTACTTATCTCTTGCTGAAGAAAATTTATACGACTGTATCAAACCAGATAAGAGAGCTGCTTGGGAAAAAATGAGGGAAAGTGACTGCAGAGACTCTTTCAAGGCGGATGCAAAATCGAATTTCTTCCCTCGAACGTGTTGCAGCACGCATAAAAAGTATGAAAAGCGGGAGCCGGGACTTTTTGAAGAAGAATGTAGATGTACAGAAATGCTATGTTTCTGTAGCAAGACATATTGCTGCCATGACAACAAGTCAGGTAAGTTCAAATTTAGCAGTAAAGGATTAAACAAGCGAGTTCTCGAAGATTCTGGAGATGGACCCATGTCAAAGTACAGGAGAGTGCTCGATGAAGCAATCAACTTAAGATCTACAAATAGAGGATTCAGAACTATAAATTATATGGTGGCAACATATGAACAGACAAAGAAAGGACTAAGCAATTTTTATTCAAAAAGACAAGTACAAGATGATGGAATTCATACAAAACCACTGAACTTTTAAGAACTGATCTGGTCTAGTAAATTTATTCATGATGTCGTATTATATTGGTTTTTTGATAATAAAATTTAAAACTTTTTGTAATTTATTTATTTATTTTTTATCTCTAATAAAGTTTGATTTTTTTCGAAATCTCTGTAGGTGTCAGCATTGTTTCAATTAGGTAGAAAGTAAGATTATCTAATAAATTAGGTCAAATAATAAAAATTCCAAGTTTTTGCACAAAAACTCTTACCATTGACTTACCATGAACCAAAAAACTAAAAACAAAACCTTAATTCTACAATCTACACGTAATTAACAATTAATTGTTCCCAATTAGATAACACGCGCCAAAAATTTTGCGGAAAAAATAAACATTTCCACACAAAAACCAAAAAAATTACGTTTTTCTTACCATTATCTTACCATCACACTGAAACCTTTCCATCGGTATTCCCTATCTTAATACATTGTGACTCTATGTCTATACCCAATCTTAATACATAGCATGGCAGACCGGAAATCGATAACGTAACTTAATACATGAGGTCTGCCATGCGCCCCCCCCCCCCCCCCCCCACTTAACCTCCAACATCTACTACTGGCCCTTATAAAGCAGATTTTATCCACTACTCGAATTCCTTCTGTTTTGGGTCCACGGCACCTCTATAGGACCAATCAGGATGACGCTAGTTCCATGGGCAGTCGGTATGCGGTTCTAGTTGAATGTAACGGTAGTAGATTCCCTAGCCCCCAGTAGGATTAGTGCGGGGTCAGTTTGTAACCGTGATAAGGTTGCCGTTGAAGCTGAAGAGCGAAAAAAAGATAAGCATAAAGACTTTGTTCATGTTGGATATCTTTTTCAACCGCTAGCTTTTGAGATTCAGGGCGCGGTCGACCTACCACAGAAATTTTCGAACAAGTTTTGTAAGAACCTAAGTATAAGTTCGGAGGAACTCAGGGCAGACAGCTTTTTAACAGAGATTCTCGCTGGCAATACAGATTGCGAACGCCGGGTTGTGACTGGAATGTGTGATGGGTTTTGACTGGAATGTGTGATGAAGGGACTCCTGACTGTAACCTCGGTTACTATATATTTTTGACCTTCTGATTACCTCCCTTTCCACCAAAATCGGAATCTCAATAGGAAATGTGATTTTTTTTTCAAAACGTTGCATCATTTGTGTTTCTGTTCCGACCTTTATATTCGGGTGTGTTTTAGTTCTTTTTTTTTGTTTTTCACGCAAAATGGGGTACACAAATAATCATCGGACTGAGTTGACTCATATAAAAGCCCTTTCAGTCGAACGACATAAAAAAAAAATCCAAAAAACTTTCCCAGTGTTGAGTAAAAGGAGTTTGAAATATTTGATTTTGCATTTATTTTTGAGCGAGCAAAGCGATAGAGCAAAATTCGTTTTAAAAAATTTACTTTTACTTAGACCTATAGCCTAAAAAAACTTAATTTTAGCTTTAAAAAGCTAGTGTTGGATGTTAAATTTTGTGCTTCGCTGGCAATGAAAAATATCTGAAAAAATAAAGTGGAAAAAACGTTTTAAAAGTATTGTCATTTTTGCTTATCATTATTTTGAAGACAACTGTTGGCTTTTATGTTGAATTCACTAAGTTTCTACGCGTTCGTATAGCTCTCAAATCGCAACCAGCGCTACAATTGACGCTAATGTATAAAAAGAATCGATTATTTTTCAATTTTAAGTTTATTATGAATATGATCGGAATTTTCTGTGCTATTTGCACAGAAACCGGCTATCCTTGTTTTTTCTTTGACATTAGTTTTCAGTGATTCCTATAATGCTTTTTCAGAAAACTATGGACTCTGACGAAGATTTAATAAATATACTGGACAATGTGTCGAAGTCATGTACATCTGCTGTACGGAAAAAAGAGAAAGCTGAAATGTCACATGGCGATAACCAGTTGTTTTCATATGATCAGAGCAAAAAATCAAATAAGTCTAATAGCTTATTAGAAGACCTGCTAGACGAGTTCACAGAACCTCTCAACGGAGATGTCAAAACTACTAGCTCGTCAGGGTACTCCATTCCCAGGTATTATAGTTCATGGTATGATTTCAACAAGTGGATAAAATATACCGCAGTGTCAAGTCTTAACTCTTCTAAAGTGCCTCGTCAAAAAATGATCTGAAATACCTGTTGAAAGTTTTTTTTGCTTTAACACATACCAGTATATTCCGGGTCTGAAACTGCCAGTTTTCACTATTTTCGATTAAGCAGAGAAGAAAAAGTAAAGCATGTGATGTGAAACATTTTGAACGCGAAAGCTGAATTATTCAGTACAACTTTCTTCTAATCTGTTGCTTCTTTTACAGAAGCGGACGAAATTAAATGCAAATTCAGGTTTATCTATTATATATTTAAATGCGGGCTTCACTATCTCGCCATGTTTAAGCTTTTTCAACGTATTCTTTTTGCATGTTTAAGCTATATCGTATATTGCAATGGTTAAGAATTTTTTTTTCGATTTTTCCAATTTGATTTTAGTTGTTATTTTACCGAGTTTAAATTAAGCAGCCCAATATCGAATTAGGGTTTGCGAATTTGGCCTCCAGTTTTGAATAATCGAATCATTTTAGTTAGGGAAATAAGACGATTTTTGAGGTTTTTTCAAAAATTTTCAGCAATTTCAAATAACAAATTAGTTTACAAAACTTAAAGTTCCCAACCCTGTATTTGGGTGCTGTCAGAGTACTCTAAGGAGTTACAAATCTTGCCTCCAAATATGACTGTTCAAATCCTTGTAGTTTTCGAGATATGACGTTTTTTGTGATTTTTTCAAAAAATTTTTCAGAAAACTTAAATTTATTTTTTTGAATTCTGAAATTCCCAACCCTGTAGTTGGGTACTCTCAGAGTACTATCAAGGATCGCGAATCTTGCCTCCCAATATGACTGCTCAAATCCTTGTAGTTTTCGAGCTATTATGTTTTTTGTGATTTTTTCAAAAATTTTCAGAAAATATTAAATAATTATTTCTCAAAATTTAAAATTCCCAACCTTGTAGCTGGGTGCTATCAGAGTACTCTAAGGAGTTACAAATTACAAATGATGTCTCCAAATCTGACTGTTCAAATCCTTGTAGTTTTCGAGATATGATGTTTTTTGTGATTTTTTCAAAAAAATTTCAGAAACTTATATTAGTTTTTTTTCTGAAAAATCTGAAATTTCCAACCCTGTAGTTGGGTCCTGTCAGAGTAATCGCAAATATTGCGAATCTTGCCTCCTAATATGACTTCTCATTCTTTGAAGTTTTCGAGATGTGACGCTTCTTGTGATTTTTTCAAAATTTTCAGAAAACTTATATTAATTTTTTTTCGCAATTTCTGAAATTCCCAACGCTATAGTTCGGTGTTGTCAGGGTACTCTAAAGAGTTGCAAATATTGCCACATGCGACTGCTAAAAGCGACTGCTCAAATGCTTTTAGTTTCCGAGATGTGACGTTTTTTGATTTTTTCCAAATTTCTCAAAGAACTGATCTACAAAGAAATTCAAAAAATGTGAAACTACTAGCTTGATGAAGATACAATCTTATTCTCAGCGTACACCCAGGCGTCTCAAATCTTGCCTCTTAATATGAATGCTCAAATCCTTTTAGTTGCCGAGATAAGACGTTTTTTTTTCTTTTTTTTTTCTGGAAACTTAGGTTTAAAAAAATTCACAAAGTTTTGGAGTCCTAACCCTATAGTAGGGTGCTCTCAGGGACTCTCAGTGATTGCAAATCTGGCCTCCAAATTTTTCCAGAGGCCCATTAAGTTTTCGAGATGACGCTTTTAAAATGGGAATAAAAAGATTTTAAAGTTCGAAATTACCAACCCTGTAATTGGGTGCAGTCAGAGTACACTAAAAGTTTGCAGATGTTGTTTCCAATATATGCGGTTTTTCACGAGTTGTCGAAAAATTTCGAAGCACCGAAGGTGCGTTAAACGCTAGTATTCCTTTAAATGTGTATTTGGGGCCACAATTAATTTGAAGTTCAGCAAAGTTTTTTCATGGAACTTGAGCAAAAGATTAGAGTTACTTTTAATGAACTTATCATTTTTTTGTTTAGCAGTTTTTTACACTAGCAAGCAGTTAATGTATTAGTACGAACGTACGAACCTTCTTTTTTTCTAACCTAACTCGCAAATAAAATAATTCATTAAGAGTGTTCACTTGTGCGCCTTTTTGTTATAATCAAGATCTCCAGATCCTAGCATCTGTTCTCTGCTTTATTTGTGGCTTGTGATGTAATTCGCGTCCGTGGCTGAGTTGTTAATGCGTGAATCCCATACTCTTTAGGTCGAAGATCGAATCCGAGACGTAGCCGAGTTTTTACTAATTCGATGCTGATTTCTATTTTTCTTTTTGTACTTTATAGAGAAGCTTCGCCTCTGTGTCAAGTTGTGTGAACATGTAAGAACAGCTGAGCTTAGTCAAGTTTGTGCACTGATTATTTCAAGTTTCATCATTGAAAATGTTTCACTTTGCATGGACAATGTTTTTTTTGTGCTTGTTCGAGAAAGAGTTCAGTCCGATGCAAAATTCAGCGCAGATGGTTAAATCATGACAAGACCCGGTTTAAAATGACAAGCCTTTGCGACCAAAAATTGATAGGTCCATTAGGGTTAGCTCTGATTTGCTCTCGGTCCATGTGAAAAGTTTTAGGAAATTCGAAGCAAATATTGTCTAAAAAGTGACATTGAATAAGCATTCCGAAGAGTTGAAATTGCGCTTAATTTTGTCCGGCAGTCTAAATTTTGTGTTTTTTCCCTTGCGATAAGCTAGGGTATTGCTATCGGGCACTTACTTTGTTCACAGGATTAATTTGGTGGAATTGGCAGTCATCTCCAATTCTGTACGTTCGTCAACAAGCAGACAATTTTTGAGAATGTCTGCATTTTAAATTCCCGTACTGCTTGATTTTTTAAAATATTGGTTGTAAATTTATCAGCTCCTATTTCAGTATAGCAGTTTTTTTTCGTTTTTTTCTTCTCTTTTTTTGTGCTCAAAGGGTTGCGGTTAATGATATGTCGGCCTCGAGGCCTCTTTTTGAGTCGTTTAAGGAGCAAATTGTTTTATCTAGTTTTGAGTTTTTTTTTAGTTTTATGGTTTTTGCGGCGCAACGTTTGTGCTCAAGAGTTTTCGGCTTTTTTACCGACAACTTAGTAAGTTTGTATTGTAAGTTTGTGTTTTACATTCAATTGTCTTATTTCGTTGCATTTTTTCTCGAAAGGAGTTTTTGTTACTGACAAATGCAGGAAATTTTTGTAGATACTTTTTTACGGCTTTAATCTCGTTTTCTGTGGGTTAGTTTGTCATGCTATATATGCTTGGTAAGCTTCACTTCGCCTCTGATTGTAAAAGTTCTGAAAGGTGCAAGTAATTCAGTTCCAACATTTCGGATTTTTTTTTGAATAGTTTTTTGGTTTTTTTTCTGTTTGATTTCATTCGTTCATCCGTAAGTTGTGATACTAATTCATTTTGGTATCGCAAGTGGTGTTTAAGTTTTGTTGGGGCTACTTTTTAAATGATGAAAGTGACCGATGTGCTGTTTTTCATGCCGGTCTAGCAGCATACTTTTTCGAGTAAATACTTTTCTATGCTTTTCAAAACGTTAATGACTGCAACCTTATATTAAGCGAAATCTAATATATACAATTTGCCGAAACTAAATTGTTCTGATTGTCGTGAAAAAATAGTGAAATTATTTGCTTGAAAAATCTTTCCGTTTTGATTACATTCGCTTTGTAGATATACAATAATTTTTGTATGCAAACGCGTAAACCACTTGATATCAATCTGGTGGATACTTTTTTGTAGTCTGTATGACTATTTGACTATCATTGGGCCTATTGTTTCAGCTATTCTTCTAGTGCAAATCAAAGCCCAATTATTACTAGCCAATCAGAGTGCAAACAGAGCAGCTGTGCCACCCCCAAATTAGGAGGAGTTTCCACTGAAGAAGAGAAAACAGCGAAAATGGGTGGGTGTGTGAGGCTACACTGTGTCAAGTGTGACAATAGGTCAGTGTCATCCATTTGAATATTCTTGAGAGCATGTGTAATAGGTTTGGAATCATTAAAACACGCCTCTGAGTTTCAAACTGTTTACAATGTGTTTAAAAAACACGTTTCAAACACTGTTTAAAATGTGTTTTAAAAACAAGTTCAATAGCGTTCAAAACTCATAGCCATTATAAACTACAAATAGCGTTCACTAGCTCATTTTCGTTATATTAACATACGGGAGCGTAATGTTATGTTACGAGTTCACTTTTTTGCCCAACCCGCAAATGAAAGTGCTCATTTAGTGGCACTTTTGGTTGTATAACATTGGCATTTAAATGACATCTGTTTATTGATGGCCAGTGTTCGCAAATAACAGTGTTCGCAAGTGGTCGTGGCGCAGGTGCGAAGTCGCGAGACTCTTTATCTCCGTTTTAGGGATTCGATTCAGGCACATCATGAATTTCGTGCGAAGTGAGCGTTGTGTGTTATTATGACTACCTTTCTCCGGTTTAACCGCTTATAAAAATACTCATTTGGTGGCATTTTTGCTACAATTATGATCTGTAGCCTTGGCAATTTCAAAGCTTCTGTTCTCTGCTTTTTTGTGGCTACTGTTTGCCGATCTTAAGCTACCATAAGATCTTAGGGGATGTAGGATTTTAATTGGATAAATTTTCGCCAGCTCCACAAGACTCGAAAGGATATTCAGTCCGGTTGATTTACGAAATCGACTTGGAATAAAAAAGGACTTATCAAGCCTATGCTTAGAGGTGCATAGTTTTCTGAATTTGAAAATTTTTTGATGTTTTGTTTTCTTACAACATGTTTACACAAGCAAAGCTTAATTTATAGTAATAATTTTCTTTCTTTTTCCAACCTAAGTCGCAAATGTTGTTGCGAAAAAATGTGTTGACATTGAAAGTGTTCGTTTTGATCAATAACCAGCTATTAAGTACAGCCAATGCACAGACTATTATATTAATTGTGTTAATTATTTAATGCAAATTTCAATTGTTAAAACTAACTCAGATCTGTATTTAAGTTGTTTTGATATAGGTACCTGACAACAAACAAATTATAACGAAAAAGCTTAACATAATTAAGTTAAATAGTTTGACAGCGCAAATGAGTCGCTTTTTGTTCCAACTATTCGAAAAATGGGGAGGAACTTTGCATTAGGGTGCTTTCGTTTTGTTTTGTTTTCCTCGCAAAATCAGGTACCACAAATAATCATCGGAATGGTTTTAATGATATATCAGTTTAAAGACCTTTCAGTCGTGATTCGAACGACATCAAAATATTCAATTTTTCTCAGTTTGATTTTTAGTCCTATTTCGAGCGAGCAGGTGTATTTATGCTTAACTTAAGCAATTTATAATAACTTATTTGTGTTTAATTTTAAGTTTACTCAAATAAAGTTAGTTTTTGGAGTTTTTTTAACGCCATTTTGAGAATGAAAAAAATTCAGCAAAATATTTGAAAAAAAATATATATATTTTAAAAATTTTTCTGGTCATGTTTCAACAGAAATAGTTATCCGATTTGCTTATTTTTATGATTGTCGAATATGCCTAAGCTCTACTAGTTCTGTGTTCATCTCTTTTTATCACGCCACGCAAAAAAAACGGCACTCATTTGAAAAAATTTTTAAGACTGGTCGGAACGTTCTGTGCTACTTGCACAATAACCAGCTATCCTTGCTTATAACTTGTTTACTTGCTTTTAAAAAAATAATCGCCGATGTCGGAAGCAATTATTAAAAAGCAACAAATTCGTTGGTTTTTAAAGACTGTTCATACATTAATTTCTTTACTTAAATAAACATCATGCTTTTAATAGAGTTGTGAGTTTCGCCCACAAGGAATGGGTTGAGGACAGTTGCGACTACCTCTTCTTCCGAAACTCCTACCCGGATCAGCAGAGGCTGCAGAAAGCGTGGAGGCAGAAGAAGGGATGGGGGGCCTACTGTTGTCAGTGCAATTGGATCTCAGTCAACTCTCTCACTCTTGTCAGTTCAGTCAAAGATCTGAAGTGGATTTGCTCTAAACACTGCTGAACAGACACTTTAACCAGACATACATTCACTCACGACACAGCATAGATAAGCAAGAAATGGGAGAAAAATTATCATCACATAGAATCCAGGAATCGCAGCCTCTGCTTTTCGATTAAAATAGTTGTAGTCCTTAGAAATTTATATTCGCCATTTCACGATGTCTTTTGGAGAAGAGCTTGACTTTGAGTTAATTGATTGTAAATTACCAAATTTTATTAAGAGTCAGTTTTTTTTTCTGATTAATTACGTTAATTGACTCTTTTCCAACTGTCTGTTGGCTATGTTTTACTTAATTTATTGTTTTCGTTTGCTGCTTTCAAGTTCAATGAATCGAATCAGAACTGATTTGGATCATGGTTTTTTTCATGTTACGCTTTACATATTGGTTAAAAATCATAATCGTGAGGACAAAAAGTTAAGTTGGTCAATATTTCTTGAAATAATGATAGAAATTTTTCTGATTCATTCTGGAGCTTGAAATTTTGTTGGCTTTACGTGCAATGCACCACGCCGTTGTAAATTGTACATATATACATATTAGTTCACTGTATATTGCGCGCTGTTGATATGCTCATGTTTTTGGTGCCAATTGTCACTTATCTAGAGCCCAGCATTTAATTTAATTGTCCTACAATCATTTCTTATTTAGAAGATCAGTTCCCAATAATTCAGGGTGTTGCATTTAAAATGTTATTATTTAAATCTAACAAGTAAACTTCGTATTTCTTAAGTTGAGCAGATTGTGCAACACTTATAAAATCAAGAACCGCGGCTCCGGCAACTATGTTCTGGTTAATTTTGTTCTGGTCAACCATAGAATCGCGGCGCTAGGCAACTATGTTCCAGCCACTTTTTCTGGTCAACTATAGCTTTTAGAGTCATTTTTTTGCTGTATTCTATGCAATAGTTTGACCGGTCCTAATTTATGCCAACTGATGCATATAAGCTTCGCTTCTGAATTTTCCAGCTTTTGTCAATTATAATCCCTAAATACAGTAGGTTTAATTAAAACGATAAAAAAAGTGTTTGAGAACAATTAACAGTAATATGTTCTTAAGAGTCGAAGAACTTAGTTCAGACTCTTATGTAGGTCGTGATGATTGATATATTGTATTTTTTTTTCAGGAAAAGTCTTGTTCAGACTTTTCCTGAAAAGTAAGATTTGTTCACGCTCAAAATTAATTTTTTTGCGGTTTGACTTTTGATTTCTTGAGTTCAGTTTGACTTAAGTTCCGTTCATTTCCTTGGTTATCAGGAAGACAAAGTCTTCTATCGAGCAACTAAAGTGTAAAAGTCGCGAAAAACGTGATCGATTCCTATTTTCGATAGTGGAATTTATTTTCAGATTTCGCAGCTGAAGAAAAACTTTTCTTATTGATCCAGATTTTTCAAACTGATTTACTGTTATCAAAGAAAAAGTGTCAATCATAAATAGTTCTTGAATTTCAAAGAAATTCAAGGCCATCTATGTTTTATTCGAAAGTTTTTTTTCTATTTATTTACGTTCATTGACTCTTTTCTAATTGTCTGCTGGCTATGGTCGATTTAGTAGAATAAAGCCCTGTCAATAGTTTGATTGTTCAACGTTTCTAAATATTGGCTGTTATTTCCGGTACAACTACTGCTTGTATTTTGCAAATCGAAATAATTTGATTTTTTTTTATGGTTTTAAATGCTGTTCAAAAAAAGCATGGAGATGTTTTGGTTGAAAACCTATACTTACTTAATTTTCTACAAAAGTTTCACATGAGATTGAGTTGATGGTTTTGCCAAGTCGAGAAAAACAGTTGTGTTTTCTTATGCCCGCATATAGACCAGAAATTTAGCGACTGAATATTTTGCTGATTTTTTTTCTGATGAAATCTTATCTGATTAATCTAGTGGACAAAGTAAAGCGCAATTTCACTCTTTTACTCTCTAAAATCCCTTCAGTGCCTGAAAACTTGAAATTGCGTTTCACTTTGTCCACTAGAGTAATCAGATAGGGTTTCATTAGAAAAAATCAGCAAATTATTCAGTCGCTAAATTTCAATTTCAAGGACCATTTTGGGCAACAGTTACTGAAATAAAATTCTTACATCGGACGTGAGGAAATGATCTCAGCTGCCCTCTAAGAAATTATCTCTAATTGGCCTAAGGCTCTTACCAGTTTATTCAGTGTCTGAAAATGCCAGTTTTTATCATCTGTAATAAGTTTATCGAGAGGCGTTAAATTAAAGACACAACTAAGTTAAGGAAATTGTCAAACTAAACATTTTAAAGTTCTCGTTCATAAAGTTTCAACTCGCATAATTAACTTTTTCTCTTCCGCTTATTCGAAAAATTGTTTACTCCCATAGAAGACCTACTAAAGATGTGTTCACTTACCTAATAAGACTTACGCAACTTGTTCACGTTCTGGCTTGAACATGAAATCAAAAACTGAATTACATGAAATCAAAAACTGAGACTTAATTGTAGGGTAGCTGAGATCATTTGCTGGAAGTGGATGTAAAAGACTGTCCAAATTCCAAATAAAACTGCCCAAAATGGTCCTTGAGCTAAGGCACTTAGAGAGTAAATACCTATAGTTGCGTTGAATTTTGTCTTGTAGTGTATTCCAGAAGATAACTTTTTCTCATCATTCCATCTGTCAACTTAGTGATGGTTCCTCCAGTTTAGGCTGTCTTAGTAAGTTAAATTGAACACCATGGAACATCATTGCTTTGATACGTCATTAATCTAACCTTGTCAAAAATTGTTGGTCAAACTTTTAAGAGATAAGATAAAACTATATGTTATTAAACTAGCCAGCAGCTAGTGTATTAGTACGAAGCTTCTTTTTATTCTAACCTAACAAGCAACTAGAATTGTTCATTAAAAGTGTTCGCTTGTGTGCCTTTTTTCTATAATCACTATCTGTAGCATTAGAATTTTCATAGCATCTGTTCTCTGCTTTATTTGTGGCTGATGTTTGTCATATACTAAGCATCCGTGGCTTAGTGGTTATAGGTCTCATGTCGATGCCGATTCCTTGCTGACTTTTTGCTCATTCGAGGCTTGTTTTGACTTCTCTTATTGCACTTTATAGAGCTGCTTTTTGTGTTCTTGCTAGTATTTGCGAAGAGAAGCTTTGCATGTGAATTCTTTTTATTGAAAATTTAAAGTGTTTTCGTTGTAAGCTGTGATTTTTTTTAAGGTTCCGATGGAATTTTCAATGAACTAGGTGTTTTGAAGCTAAGTGGTCTGTTTTTGAGAGCAACACTTTCCTTATTTTAATTTTATTTGGAACAAAAATTGTTCTAGTCAAACGTTTTTCATGAAAGGCCTGAACAATTTTCAAAATCAGAAAAATATTTTTGTCTAACTAGAAATAGTTTTTAGATCAGTAGTTAAATTGTCTTTTCCTATTGTTAAAATATTGAACGTAGTGAAGACTCTTATGTGGGTCTTGGCGACTTTTTTTCAGGATAAAGTCTTGAAATGCTCTTATAACTACAGATGTGCATTCATACATATTAATGCATATATGAATGCACGTAGGTAATATGCACTTTTTGAGCTTAATTGAAATTCATCTACTGAAAGATACGTAAATAGCACTCTTCAAATAGCAACATGGAAATGTTTTCGTATGCTCGCATATAGACCAGAAATTTAGCGACTGAATGATTTGCTGATGTTTTCTAATGAAATCCTATCTGATTATTCTAGCGGACAAAGTAAAACGCAATTTCAAGTTTTTTTTTCTCAAAAATGCTCTCCCTAGTGTTTGCGAAGAGAAGCTTTGCCTGTGTAAAGTCTCTTTATTGAAAATTTAAAGTGTTTCCGTTGTAAGTTATGGTTTTTAAAAGATTCCGATGGAATTTTCAATGAGGTGTTTTGAAGCTAAGTGATCTGTTTTTGAGTGCAACGCTCTCCTTCTTTTATTTGGAACAAAAATTGTTTTGTCAAACTTTTTTCTCCATGTTCATGAAGTGCCTGAACAATTTTTAGAATCAGAAAAAGGTTTTTGTAATTACACCGAAGACTTTAGTCAAGGTGTTATGGTATCGTGTAACGGGTTTTTTTTTTAATGTTGTCTGTTGTCAAGTGTCGACAAATAACGTCCACAGTTATCAATTATCATGTGGGCTGGACTATATCGCGCTATGTCACGTGATTGCGTATGTTTGTTTCTTTATTTGTTCATCTTTATTTATTTAATTATCTGTTCTTCTATATTTTTAATTATGTTTAGTTTGCTTATATTTATTTATAATTTATGTATGTACATATTTATTTTTGTTTATTTTTATCACGTGTTTTGTTTATTTATTTAATTATTCTTTCTTTCATTTAGTTTTGCTTTTATTATTTCTGCGTGTGTATTTATTTAATTTATTTATTTTCATTTATTTATATTATGGGTCTGTTTGTTTGGTTATTTGTTCATATATATTTTTTCATGTCTATTTAATTATTTGTACATTTCACTTTTGCTTTTATTTATTTATTTATTTATTTATTTATGTATTTATTTATGTATTTATTTATTTATTTATGTATTGATTTATTTTTTTATTGCTTATTTATTTATCAGGTGTGTTTTGTTTATTTGTTGATATTTATTTCTATATTTATTTAATTATTCTTTCTTTCATTTAGTTTTGCTTTTATTATTTATGTATGTGTATTTATTTCATTTATTTATTTTCATTTATTCATATTATGGGTCTGTTTGTTTGGTTATTTGTTCATATATATTTTTTCATGTCTATTTAATTATTTGTACATTTCACTTTTGCTTTTTTTTATTTATATATTTATTTATTTATGTATTCATTTATGTATTTATTTATTTATTTATGTATTGATTTATTTTTTTATTGCTTATTTCTTTATCAGGTGTGTTTTGTTTATTTGTTGATATTTATTTCTATATTTATTTAATTATTCTTTCTTTCATTTAGTTTTGCTTTTATTATTTATGTATGTGTATTTATTTAATTCATTTACTTTCATTTATTTATATTATGGGTCTGTTTGTTTGGTTATTTGTTCATGAGATATATATTTTTTCATGTTAATTTAATTATTTGTACATTTCAGTTTTGCGTTTATTTATTTATTTATTTATTTATTTATGTATGTATTTGTTTATTTATTTATGTATTGATTTATTTTTTTATTGTTTATTTATTTATCAGGTGTGTTTTGTTTATTCGTTGATATTTATTGCTATATTTATTTAATTATTTTCTTTCATTTAGTTTTGCTTTTATTTATTATTCATGTATGTATTTATTTATTCATTTATTTATTTATGTTTATTTATTTTTGGTTTGTTCGTTCATTTGTTGGTTTGTTCGTTCATTTATTTATTTATTTAGTTAGCGTCTTTGTTGTTTGATTGTGAAATTTGATGTTTTACTTCTTAGCTATGTAGTCAATATAGCAAAATTTTGGTGTATATATGTGTTAGTAAGATTTTTAGTTCTACAACGTTTATTCAGGCTCTTTGTCGATATAGCAAAATATTGGTGTATACATGTGTTAGTACGATTTTAGCTCTAGAACTGTTATTCCATGATCTTTGTCAATATAGCAAAATTTTGGTGTATACATGTGTTAGTACGATTTTTAGCTCTAGAACTGTTATTCCATGATCTTTGTCAATATAGCAAAAATTTGACGTATACATGTGTTATTACGATTTTTAGTTCTCGAACTGTTATTTCATGATCTTTGTCAATATATCAAAATTTTATTGTATACATGTGTTAGTACCATTTTTAGTTCTCGAACTGTTATTCCATGATCTTTGTCAATATAGCAAAATTTTGGTGTATACATGTGTTAGTACGATTTTTAGCTCTAGAACTGTTATTCCATGATCTTTGTCAATATAGCAAAAATTTGACGTATACATGTGTTAGTACGATTTTTAGCTCTCGAACTGTAATTTCATGATCTTTGCCAATATAGCAAAATTTTGGTGTATACATGTGTTCGTACGATTTTTAGCTCACGAACTGTTATTTCAGGCCCTTTGTCAATATAGTAAAATTTTGGTGTATACATGTGTTAGTACGATTTTTAGTTCTAGAAATGTTATTTTATGATCTTCGTTGATATATCAAAAATTTAACCTATACATGTGTTAGTACGATTTTTAGTTCTAGAACTGTTATTTCAGGCTCTTTCTCGATATAGCAAAATTTTGGTGTATACATGTATTTGTACGATTTTTTGTTCTAGAACTGTTATTCTTCAATTATTAGTTGTTCAAGTTGTTTGGTTTTTGCTTCAGTTTCTATGCCTTCGGTGTATTGCGCGTAGCGCCTATGTTTAGAAATAGTTTTTAGACCAGTAGTTAAATTATCTTTTCCTATTGTTAAAATATTGAACGTAGTGAAGACTCTTATGTGGGTCTTGGTGATTTTTTTTTCAGGATAAAGTCTTGAAATGCTCTTATAACTAAAGATGTGCATTCATACATATTAATGCATTTATGAATGCAGTTAATATATATGCACTTTTTGAGCTTTATTGAATCCATCTACTGAAAGTTACGTAAATAGCACTCTTCAAACACGAACTTGGAAATAGCGCGAAAATACGTGAACGGTTTCTATTTTCGAATGTGGAATTTAATTGTTAGATTTCCAGCGGAATAAAAACTTTGCCTTTTGATCCAATTTTTTCAAGTCGGGTTAATTTTATCAGAAAAGCGCCAATCATAAGTTATTCTTGATATTCAAAGAGCTGCAATGGTATCTACTATTTTTCCTTTGCATTTCGAAAGTTGTAATTTTTTCAACAAAGTCAGTGTTTTTCACTGTTTCTTTGCATTCATTACTCTTTTTCAATTGTCAGTTGGCTATGATTTGTCTTGTTGTCAGGAACTACGCATTGTTTTAATTCAATACTATTATTGTTACGACCATTTGAAAAATGGAGAGGAACTTTGTATTCGAGTGTGTTTTAGTTTTTTCTTTTTTTGTTTACCACGAAAAATTAGGTACCGCAAATAATCGGTGAAATTATTCGACTGATTTATCATATTAAAGACCTTTGAGTCATGGTTCAGTGTCGAAAAAAAAACCCGTTGGAAATTTTCTTAGAAAAAAATAAGTCTAATTTTGAACAAATAAAGCAAGCGAGCAGGCTGTTTTAAGCTCAAGCATTTTACAAAATTTTTTGTGCCTTATTTCAAAAATTTAACCAAAAAAAGGTTCGGAATTTTTTCAAAGTTTTTTTCTAATTTTTTTCTGGTAATTTTATACAAAAGTCGTTGTCTAATTTGCTATTTTACAATGACGATCGAGTATGCCTAAGCTCTAGTTTTTCGTTCAGATCTTTTAATCACACTATCATAAAAAACGACACTTATTTGTGAAATCTGTTTTTGTTGTTTTTTAAGACCATTGTCGGAATATTATTTGCTACTTGCACAGTAACCAGCTATCCTTGTTCTTTATTATTTGAAAATATCTCAAAACAAAATTCACGATACTTTTTATGATATTTTGTTTTTACTGTTCACAAAGTTGCTTTCTCTCAGATAATGATTAATTTTAACTCGTGAAAATTCATTAAAACTCGGTCAGTATTATTTGAAACTTTGATTTTGTAAGATTCGATGAACGTAATTCAGACTCTTATGTAGGTCGCGATGCTTGTTTCTGTTCTTTGTTCTGGAAAATTTCTCAAAATTTGTTCCGGCTCAATTTTGAGTTTTCCCGGTTTGACTTTTGATTTCTATGCATATTCAGTTCATTTCTTTTGTTGAAAGGAAGGCCAACTCCTCTAACATCAAAAGTTTGAAGGACACGAAAGACGTGATCGATTCTAGTTTCAAAGAAGGTTTTTTTTCAGATTTCCCAGCGGAATAAAAACTTCACTTAATAATACATTTTTTTTCAAATTGGGTTGTTTTTAACAGAAAAAATGCCATCATTTATTGTTCTTGAAATTCAAAGAGCTTGAAAGCCGTCTATTTTATTTTGAAATTTGAAAATAGAGATTTCAAAAAACAAGTCAGCAATTTTTCTTGTTTCATTGACTCTTTTTCAAATGTCTGTTGGCTAATTTTAGCGGTTTTCTGTTCCGAAGAAACTTTCTATTCGGGTGTCTCATGTGCACAAAATCAGGTAGCAATTATAAACTTAGCTTGGCTTAATTGAAGTATCGTATTATAATATCGTACCTCACTTGTTTTTTTCCAGTGTAATAGCTCGTTTCAAGCTTTTTAATTTTTATTGGGGCAGGTTTTATCCTTTTGTTTCAAAAATTAGTAAGTGCCCTTTTTTAGAACCATTTACAACCCTCTGTAGCATAAAGAATTATACAGTGATCCGTTTTCGAAACTTGAGAAGTTTTTTACTTCGCTTTTTTTAATTAAATTTTCTACCTTTTGTTGGTATTGTTCTGATTTGCTTTTTGCCTCAATATGTTCATTATTCAATAGGTTATTTGAAAAGCTGAACGAACCCATATTAGTTATGAATGAAAAGCTGTGTTCAATCACAGTCACAGAACTGTACCTTGAAAAGCGCGGTCTGTGTTTAGACAACCGCCTGTTCATACTCGCCAGTAAGCACACAAATACTATATCAACCAATCAGAATTGAGATGAAAAAGCAAACTTACGAAAAAAAATATATTAATTTCTTCCTGGTTTCGATTCTGATTGGTATATATAGAATTTGTCTGCTTACTGACGAGTATGAATACGAAGTTTTCTAAATACTGCTACGTAACCAGCTTGATTGCAGTTGTCTCAAACATTCATTCAGTATTTTCTCGCTAGAAATGAATATCTAACTATTCTAGAATGTTCTAAATTCACTCAAATTCTTTTTATGGCTTATGATGTTTACAGTAGTGATAGTCAGAATTTGTGGTGTAATTGTTTTACCGCCACCATAAGCTAGTACGATTTAATAAAATATACCAATACTATTTTCACTAACACCATTGACACGACGTTGATTTTCTTTCTACTAGCGGTAGCTCTATTCCTTTGCTATTTATTATTACTGCAATTCCTTGGTAAGGTTGAGCATCGAAGAGCTAAACGTTATTAACCTCTAAAAATACATTCGGCGTTCATTTCAGGGCGTGAATTGCTTTGCTTTTACTAAGTGGGCCCAGCTGAAACCAAATAAAAAGAACAGCAACCATTATCATCTCAGTTCAATCAACTGCAATCATCAGTTTTCAAATTTTTGAGCCAAAATTGATAAAAACTGAAGATGGAAATCGGGACGCACTGCAATTTGTCAGAGTGTCATGCTCTGGACTTTCTGCCGATCAAGTGTGACGCGTGTTCTGGAGTGTTTTGCGAGCGACACATGCAGTATGAGAATCACAGGTGTCCAGTAGCACCGCACGAGAGAAGGGGTAGACAAGTTCCAGTCTGTCCTCTGTGTAATTGTCCAGTGCCTCTGGCTTCGTCTGATGAGTCTGTGGATTTGGTGGTGGGTCGACATATTGACAACGACTGTCGCTCCCAGCCTGCGCTAGACAAGCGAAGTCAGGTAATAATCAATTTTTGATGTTCAGTTTTGGTTGCAAAGAGGAGCTGAAAATTTACTCGCATATTGCCGGAAATTCCTCTGCTTCGAGTGAAAGTTTGAAAGCGTGAATTATTTTTGCAGTTGCATAATAAAAATTCATATGGATACCGTTTTCTAACATTGAGTTAATACATTGAAAAGGTTAATCATACAAAGTTTCATGAATTTTAATCATTTTCATCATTATTTAATAGGTACGAGTAATTAAAGGCTACTTTTGCCCCTGATTTAGATCATTTTCATGGTAGTACCAGTAGTTTTTCTACTTGTTCATTTAAAATAATTTTAGTTCGGATTTGTTTTTTACTACTCACGGATTTTTTACTTTTAAAAATGCACACTGGGTTGGAAAAAGACGTATTAAATCATGAACATTTTGTCAATTTTTTTTTGAATTTATTAGGTGGCACGCTGTGTGGCGAAAGGGTGTCGCAAAAGAGATTTGACCTCGATCAAGTGTGGTCAGTGTGACATGACAGTTTGTATCAGGCACAGACTGCCAGAGGATCACGACTGCTCGCAACACAAAAGAGAGCAGAGGATACCCTCGAATATTAGACAGCAGCAGCTACAATCACACACTCCCAGCTGGCTTCATTCGGGTTTCAACTCTATCTCAAACGCGCTCTCATACTCCTCACATCAAGGTGACTGACTCAAGCTCCAGAGGTCTCGGTTTCGAATCCGGTGATGGTCTGGGAGCCATTGATTTTTTTTTGAATTTTTATGTATAGATTTATTTTTTTCCCACGAAGTCGTGGCAATTTATACAAAGCTGCTACCGTTTTAGTCAGTTCATGCAATGAATGTTTATGCTTCGTGGTTTTGTTTCATTTTTTTTACGTGTGTTTGACCGTAATTAAATTCACTTGGCTAAAAATCGGTCGAGAAAGCCCTTCCTCGTTTTTCTCGTAATTGACTCGATTCACTAGTCGTTTTGTTAGTTTTAAAATGGATGATTCATTTCAGGGACAACTAACACATCTCGCACGGTATCTAACAGACCATCTTCGGCTAGAAGTGCAAACAGTGACAGAAACTCACAGAGACCTCTGACATCTCATCGGGACGTCTCGGTTGGCAACGCGGGCATGTCTGAAAGCGAAGCCTTGCAGGCCGCCCTGGCTATGTCAGCCGCCAGTGCTTCCGAGACACCGTCAGGGGAAGAGGGAATCAACGGTCAAACTGACAACGCCACTCAGGAGGAACTAGACAGACAGTTAGCCCTGATGATCCAACAGGAGCAGATGGAAATTGGCGCCAGTGAAACCAACAGACCTCGCATCACTGCAAACTCACCCGCCAATAATCATAGTAGTCACAACAACTGTTCTCTGATGTAGTCAGAAACTAATTTGCATTCTACGTTAAAATTAATTTGAGTTTGTCCGACCATGAAAATGACTCATTTTCACCAGTAGTTTAGTTCTATTATGACTTCAATCAAATAAAATTTGAATTTATTTGTAGTAACCTTTTTTCTTCCTGTGTACCAACTTTCTAATGAATTGAATTCAAGACTAAGTAAGATTATACCACTTTTTACTCGAGAAGAGCATTGAGTTTGCAATAGCGGAGATTGTAGCTTGTAGTAATAGACGACTTTTTCGCAGTTCAATTGCACATTTCAATGTGCAGTTCATACTCGAGATCGGGAGGATCGAATCCGGATGGTGCTAGCTGGTATAGTGTGAAAGCATATTCGAATCTGCAGTTGAAGTTTTTTTGCTGACATATGTGATGTACACAATATTTTTACCATATAATAAGCCAGGGTATTGCAATCTGATACTAGACTTTTCCCCGTAAAAACTTTTTTTCTCAAAATCTTCAATTTTATGATTTCCAAGTATAGCGGTACTAGTTTTACTGAGTGTGAGTGTAGTGGCTTAGATGTAGTACTGATAATAGAGATGCAAATGTTTTCAGAATAGATTAATTTTTTGTTCAATTTCAGTGTATTTTTGACAGTTTTTTATATTTTTACTTTCAATTTCGAGCTGCGTAGATACAGTTAATAGTTTTGGTTTGTTAAAACGTTAAATACACTAGCAAGCTTGCGAGCGTAGTGTATTAGTACGAACCTTCTTTCCTTCCAACCTAACTCGCAAATAATAGAGTTCATTAAAAGTGTTAACTTATTTGTTGGCACCTTGGTATAATCAGGATCTGTAGCATTAGAAGTTTCAAAGCATCTGTTCTCTGCTTTGTTTCTGGATTATGAAGCGCTTGTGGCTGTGTTTTTTTTAGTAAATCAAGGCTATTTCTACTTTTTCTTTTAGAGCTGCTTTTTCGTCTTATGCTCGCTAGTATTTGAGAAGGGCAGCTTCGCCTCTGTGTTAGCCTTGTTATAAGCATGCAAAACGTTCTGATAATTATCTTTGTGATAAGCTAAGGTATTGCAACCTATTACTAGTTTCTTCCTGAAAATTTTCAAAAAATGGCTGAAAGTTGTGGTCATCCTTAAATCGTCATTCGTCATCCAACGAACATTTTGAACATGCCTGCTTTTTGATGGCCTATTTTTACGAAATTATTATTTTGTTTGTTTGTGAAATGTCCAATTTACAGTACGCTTCCGTTTTTGCTTTGTTTTTAGTTTCTGTTTATTTGAGTTGAAAGGTTTCTAAACATTATTTGTCGGTTTAATGGCCTCAAATACATCGTTTATTGAGCATAGAAATAGTTTCTTCTATTTGTTTCAAGACAAAGATGGCTTAAAAACTATTTTGCTATGGAAATATTTTCTTTGTCTCAACGGTTGTCTGCTCAAAATTTGTCGGCTTTATGACCGCCTCGTAATTTTTTTAATGCTCATTTAAGATTAATGTTTTTCCTTGGCATGTTTGTTCAACACGAACTATTCAAGACAAATTTGAAACAGAGAATAAAAATTTTGGAAAACAGTTATTTTGTTAATTACTTTTACAGCTAAATTGAAGTAAATGGAGTTTCATGTTGAAGCTAATGGAGTTTCATTTCAGCCCGAATTGTTCGTAAGTTCGGCCCTTTAAGTTTTGACGTTTAGGTTTGTAGCGCAAGTGGTGCGAACATCAGCGTTGCGTTTACGTGTTTATTTTAACTATTGGAGCTTGCAAAAAAGTTGTATCTACTGTCATCTCAGTCTAGAAGTATTCTATTTTAGAACAGTTTTTTTATTTTAGCTATTGACAAGAACACTCCTGTAGTATAACATGAGTCAAATTTTCTAGCCAATGTCGCTTTTTTGTGTAAAGTTGCTTTTTTCAGTTTCCTGATATTCTTAACTATCCGTGTTTCCTACTCGCTTGTTTTGCAATTTCCTAACTGCTAGGTATTCGGTTTGACAGTGTGATAACTACTTCAATCAATACGGCGATTGAGTCAGTAGAAAAGTTATATCACTCACCTTCTGGAAATTTCTTCAATAAATCTCTTAGTCGGTTAATTTAAGTTTAACCTAGGGGCTCTTTTTCCTTTCCCCCCCACCTGCAAATTTTTACATTTGAAGTTACTGTTCACATTGTTCGATTGTCATGAAAATTGACATGTGAACTAATTAGGCAATGACAAACACATTTGGTCTTCATAATTAACCTTCTAAAACCACTCGTTAGACCATAAAAATAATGTTTGAGTGCGGTGGGGGGGGGGGGGGGGGGGGGTATTAGCAAAAAGAGCCAACCTAGGTTTTTAAGACCCACGAACGTAGAGAGTACTCTTACAAAGGTCTTGTTGATTTTTTTTTTGGAAAAATCTAAATTTTCTCACGCTCCTTTTAATTTTTTGATTTTTGTTCTTTTTTAAGTTCAGTTGATATCTTTTGATAAAGTGAAATCAAAGACTAACATCCAACAGCAAAAGTGTAAAGGTAATGAAAAACGTGATCGACTTCTAGTTTTGAAAGTGATTTTTATTTTTCAGATTTACCAGCGGATTAAATATTTACCTATTGCTCCAGTTTTCTCAATTGGGGGCTCTTTTCCAGTTCCCCCCTTTCAAAATACCGAGTTTTATGTTTGTTTTACGTGTTATTACGGCTAAATGCGTGATGTTACGCGGTAAAGTATGAAGAGCAAATCTGTTCAGAATTGTCGATTTGTTCACCACGCCAAATTTCAATGCATTATGACAACGTTAAAACGACTTTTCAAAATTGAATTTGAAAGGGGGGGAACTGGAAAAGAGCCCAATTGGGTTAACTTTATCAAAAGTATCCATCAAAAACGTTCAGAAGTTCAAAGTAACTTTGAAGCCATACCTTTATTAAAATTCAATATGTGATTTTTTTTTAAAACAAGACTTTTTCTATTTCTTTGCGTTCAAGGCTCTTTTCCAACTGTCTGTTTAATATGTTTTATTTTTCTAATTATCTTTCTTTTGTTGACGAAGTGCAGCTTCCAATCAGTGTGTTGTTTGAGTTATTGTTTATTTAGAACTGTGCGCGATTGCTCATTTTCATTTGAGCTTGGGAAGATTAAAATGGTAAAACTTTGAACCCAAGTAATGATATCGAGCGTATTGGAGTTATCAGCTTGTTTTTGAGCTGTAATATTACACTTAATTATTTTACTTTACTTTTTTTTATTTTGAGTACTGAAGCCGTTAAGGCAAATTACTGACACGCAAAAGAGTGGGTCGAATTCCATAAAACTAGACAAGTGAGGCTTTATTCGTTTTTTGAAGCTTTTTTCATTACTTTTTTTTTCCAATTGTCTTATGTTTCTTCGTAATAAAGCTAATCGCTTTGCATCTGCGCCCTGAAATAAAAAGACATTTCACAGATGCCATTTCACCATTTTCATAAAGCTAGCCTCACTTGAATAATAAAACACTAATGATGTGGTCGTTTATTTTGGAAAGCTGTAGAAAAGAATGTGACTAGCAATTTAATGACCTAAAACAGTCGTTCTGTATTTTGCTCGAAATTGTTTTATGGGCTAATTCAATGCTTGGTTGCTCTTTCTAAAATTTTGATTGCAGCTTCTGAAATGTTTTTTTTTATTCAACAGTAATCGATTTTTTTTTACTTCCTGGATGTGATCAAAATTTTGCCTGCTTGTTTTCTTTTTAATTCGTCACAAAAGCGAAGCATGTGTACGATGCAACATTTTTCCAATCTTAGTCGCAAATAGAAGTGCTGATTTGGTGACTCTTTCAGTATACTTTTAATCATCAGCAGTTCAACTGTAGCTGCTTCGTTGGTAGCTCTTGTTAGTAAAATTTCAAGCGATTGTGACGCAGATGCAAGATTGCGAGACTCCTAATCGATAGGTCGGAAATTCCAGTTCGGAACTTTGCAATAGTGTTTTTTTTTGTATTTGATGGCGCTTTTGCTGAATAGCATTGGTTTTTTTAATAGCACCTGTAGCCGCTTCGTTGGTAGCTTTTGTTACTTACGATTCCAGCGAGCGTATGTGAGACTCCTAAGCTTGCCGTTTTCTCGCTTGTTTTTGCGAAGTGCTGCTTCGTCTCTTTGTCGAATGTTCGAGCTTGACTTCTTTAAAAAGTGCAAACCCAGTAATTGTCTTTTGCATCTTGAGACAAAATGGTCAGTCGACAAAATCATCTAAATGAAGGAACAAATTGAAGAGTTTCAACATGGTTAGAATTACTCAGTGAAGAAGCAGAAAATGGATGATTTTGTTTCTGGTACGTTCAAGTAAAATTAGTGTGCGCAGCTACTTTACGCATCCAAATTAACTGGAGCCCTGCAAGTGGTTCGGAATTGTGCTTATCTGCTGCTTCTTATATCCTTTGACTGTTCTCGATTTTGATTGCAGTATGCACAGTGCTGATTTGAATTATCCATCAAAACACTAAATTAGAAATTCAAAACGCGTTTTTCTCAAATTAGGTTGATTTTAGGTAAAAAATGATGAAGAAAAAACTTGGTAATACTTTCAGCAAAATTAATATGGCAATTTGTTTTGCGAAATTCGGGTACAATTTTTAACCTCAAAAATGGATCCGTTTTTTTTATGTGAATTTTAAGAACGGTGTTTTCTCCAGGCCTTTTTTTGACTGTTTTTTCAAAATTTTGCCTGCGGCGCAGAAATTTTGGCTAAAACAACAGGGACTAAACTGTGCGTAGGGAGAGCTCCAAAAATCAATTCGGTCGACCTAAAAAAAAAGTCGACAAAATTTGGAAAAATTTTGAAAATCCGCCCCCCCCTCCTCGAGAAAATCCTAGATCCGCCCCTGGTACGCTCTATTAATTTTTTTTTGATAGAAAAAAATAGGTCGTATTTAACTCATAAAACACCAAGTTCTTATTTAAGAACAATTTAAAACAAATTGGATATTTTTTTCGAGAGTATACCGTTCTTAAAGTTTGTTGGGCTACATACGAGGCTCATTTTCATATATATATGACAGTGTTCGACCAAGTGAGGTTCTGCTTCGCTTGCTCACAAATTTAAAAAAAAATAGGAAATTGTCTAGGTAGTAAAATTATATATTTTCTCTTCCCTAAGTTCAGCTTGGTTCATGCTGAAAGAATTCTTGGTTTCGAGCTT